CAGACCATAAATTCGGTTGGGGAAATCACTTTCAATGAGCGGGTTCCCAGATGTATGAGTGGAGCTGGGCGGAGCGAGACATGTATCTGGCTGTTGTCAGGTTACCCTAGCCACACCTTGACGATTTAAGTTATAAGCATGCTGAAGTACTCTGAAGCATACTGAAACATTCTGGCACATGTTGACATACAGCAAGAAGGTATGCCAGCGTATGCTCATTTATGGGCCATAAGTTCTAGGTAAGTTATCTGATGGTTGACATACGTTAAGTGTCAGTTACTCATAAGTCATGGCGTCTAGCTTATCTAAAACCTATTAGTAACTTGTGCATAACTTATGTGTAGCTCATCAAGAACTTATATCCAACGCATATCAACATGTCTGACGTGTTTCTAACTTACAGCTACTGTATAATGGCGTATTGGCAGTGTTTTGGTATAAAAGGGGTTCACTGGAGGAAACCGTCTGTTCTCCTCCAGACTTTATCCCCATCATAGGGTGAGCCAGAAGGTGAATGTGATGGATCCTCCCTGCGTCGCCGGCCGCGACCGACAAACTTCCTAGCAGACACAATGCTGAATCTGCTGCGACTGCAAGCCTTCTTTCTTTCTTTTTCTTTGTATTTATTTATTTATTCTTTCTTTTTTTGGCAGGCAGTAAACAGCAGCTAGGTTAATATCGTGATCAAAAACCTCTTTTTATGCAGGCTGGGCGCCTCAGGGTGATTTGCTGCCCCACTCATGTCACTGGCTTGTGCATAATTTCATGGGAATTATGCTGCGTGCATTAGGAATAAGTTAGGCTGTCTTTAGACAAAAATATAAGACATAAGTATAATGAATACTCTGGGTATACACCCAAAATTGAAAAAATACGTTGAAAGTTCAGCGTATGCCAGCGTTTTAGAAGATTTTGGGACCTCAAGGTGTGACAGGGGCTTAACAGGTCCTGCTGTAGAGTTGGAAGACAAAATACATGTAAATTCAATCAGTTGTACTATTGCAATATTCTTTATCATTTACAGGAAATATGGCAAGCACTTTATACTGAAACCTAAAGCCAATATAGGCGAAGAAAACGTGTTTATTAAAAAGCTCCTTACCTTTAGTGAGGTTTAAACGTTGCTTCAAGCCATTCACGTCTGTTCTCAATACATGTTGACTTAGAAGACACTTCTGAGAATACCACTCTAGGTGGTTGGGATCCTTTTCAATCAGTTTCAGCATCCAGTCTTGTTTGGGCTTGGCGGTCTGGATGTTGCTGTCGCAATATCCCACCTGAACTTCATTTACTGTTGCAACCCCAACAAACTCTGGAAAGCCTGGGACTCCGTAGGTAGCAGTACGGAAATATCTCAGGGAATGTTTCACTGAAGGGTAGAAATTAACATATTTAGTTGTTGTTTTAAATTGTTACCTATACTTTCCCTTATATAAAAATGCATATTACAGAAAAGTTAATTAAATTCACCAATTAAAGTCATTAAATGAGATACATTCTATGGATTCATCAGTAACAGACTGATATTTTAAAGCTTTGATTTGTATGAATCATTCTACTGCTGAAGACTTTCCACTCATAATAAAAAATAACATTTAAAACATCCATCAATTTGCTGTCACGCTTATCCAATGTGGGGTCAGGAGGGGTGCTGGTGCCTATCTCCAGCTGTCTATGGGAGAGGCGTGGTACTCCCTGGACAGGTCCCCAGTCCATTGCAGGGCAACACAGAGACAGACAACTGTTCACACACACACTCCCAGAACCACACTCCTATCCCAGCTAAGGACAATTTAGAGAAACAAATTAACCTAACAGCCATGTTTTTGGACTGTGGGAGGAAGCCAGAGTACCTGGAGAGAACCAATGCATGCCCAGGGACAACATGCAAGCTCCATGCATAAAGACCCCGGGCCGGGATTTGCACCCAGAACCTTCTTTCTGCAAGTCAGCAGTGCTACCCACTGCATCACTGAGGAGCCTCACATTTAAAACAGGAATATGAAATCTGACCAATAGAAAGAAATATTTTAAATATTTAGATACCTTCTTAAATACAGCTGTTCTCAAAATGTACTTTTTATCTGACAACCAAGCTCTAAAATGAATACATTCTCTGACTGATTTGATATGGCTGTATAGATCAGCCTGATGTACCAATTTGAGATAAAATTAATTCAAGTTGACTGACTGGTTTTATTTCAAAACACTCTCAGTCTGCTGAAAAAATTGCTTTGTAACGGTGGAATTATTTTACTTGAAAATATTCTTGAAATAATTCTTATTTTTAACCACTTTTTAAAGTATTCTTAACAATATCAAAATAAGCAAACAGCTTCCTATTTTTATTTAACTGATAAAATCCAAATCAGATTATCAAACAGTTACTGCTTAAAACTCTTTTTTTTTTCTTCTTCCTGTAACTTAAGTTATTTTTTTATAATTACATTTTACTTTCGCTTATCCTCTGAGAGCAAGTAGGCTGTCTATGAAATACTTAACATTTCATTCACGTGATTTAAGATGTTCCTCAGGAAGTTGAGCACATTATCATGACATATGAGGCACATATCAAGGAGATTAAAGTCCTGAAAAGTAAAATATAATAGAGGATAGAAGCACAAAAACAAATATAAGTAACATAACTGGCATTGGAGCTGTCAGTGTTGGAAGGAGATGAGAGAAAAGGGTTTGACTCTTAATTAGAAAATGAAACCATCAGTTCGTTGCAATATTTACATACAATTTAAAATCAGCTATTTAAAACAAAGTCTTACCTGAATATGCAAACTGAAAAAAATAAAGCAGGGCAAAGAAAGTCTTTATCTTTTTTAGACAGAGCATTTTACAGGGAGCAATAATAATAGACAGGTAGTGATGGCAGCCAGCTGGGTCTAGATATAAAACTAGTTTAATAAGCCGTTAGATTTCAGATTCTCGCTAATAGATCTTATAAAATGTTTTAGTAACTTACCTGCTGCCACATTATGTATAAATATTCCCAACAGAACCACGAAACACTTCAGCTTCTTCATGATTCCTCATCTAGACTTTCAAAAAATGAACTTGATTTCCGAGCTGATCTGATGTTCTCCTTTCCACAGCTAGAGACATAAGGCTGGAACATCAACCTTTACTTAACCAATGAGAATCCAGCTTTAATGTCAACGTCACTTGAACCAGCAAGGTTACTAATGAAACAGAAATTAAAATATCACATAGAGAGACAGAGAGGTAGGACTAAATGGTAATATTATCATTTTTATTTCAGAAAATCAGCTGTTTCTAAAATCTTGTGAAAGGCTTTGATCAAATGTAAAAATCACCTAATATTTTTAGCTGATATAAAATGTTCTATTATTGTTGTTTTCTTCTGCATATATATATATATATATATATATACCTCAGGCAGGAGAAAACCGAAAGTGAAGACAAGAAAGAGGAAGGAGAACCATCATGGAGGGACAAGCCGCTGCACGGCATGTACCACAGACAAATAGAAGAAGTGGTCCTACCAGTCACTGGAAAAGGCTGGACTGAAGGACAGCACAGAGGCACTAATCATGGCAGCACAAGAACAGGCACTCAGTACAAGATCAATAGANTCTTTCCTCTGATCACAGAGCAGATCACGGCTTGCTTGGTCTCGCAATGAATCCTGGGATATCCAAGAATACCGAGGATACATCGGACCCATCCTTCAAATCGGGCAAAAAGAAGGACGCATTTTAAGGCCGCATAACGAGGACTCTTGGAATCCGACCAGACCTCGGCGCCGCGCTATGACGTAATCGGCCTTCGAATCTGGCCTTCTAAGGACGCATCCTAGGTTTTCGAACAGAGCATATTTGTAGGAGACTGAAACAAAGAGAGGGTTAATGAGCAGATTAGGTGCAGGTGTGAGCAGAGCAGAAACAAGAAAGGAGCAAGGAGAACTCAAGAGGGCAGCAGAGTGCAACAACTAAAAACCTGAGAACTGAAAATAACCAGAAAGAACAAAATAAGAATTAAACCACTATGACTTAAAAACATGGAGTAAAGCAAAACTGAACACTCAAAAGAAAAACATAACAGCCAAGCCTGAAACAGTAACTAAGAATAAACCAGATAATGCAGCAAAATAAAAATAAAACCATTAACAGCCTGTGTTGTGACGTGTCTGGAGCTGAATGATTGTCTAATTAATATTACCTGGATCTGCTCAGGGTGCTGTTTATTTGTTTGATAGAGAGAGAGGCTAAAGCAGGGTGCCAATATTTCTGTTGACCGCCAGTTTAAAGCCTATTAAGTCTGCAAGTCTATCTATTGTACAGTGCTTCACAGAAAACGGGTACAATAAACATCCCTTACTGCAGTAAAACTTTTTATGTCCTCCTTGGATTCAGTGCATCAATTAGGTCCCGGGTCTCCTCTCCATGACTAATTTTTGGATGATAGTTATTTACATTGTCAACAGAAATGGTAAAAGATCCAACACTTTGATGCTTTGATGGAATTGTGCACATGGTTCACTCAGCCATTTTGGACGCATCTGTGAGTAAATTTGAATGAAAAGACGGAGCACAGCACAACCTGTGGTATGTTGGATTCAGTTTATTCATACTGTGAAATTCAATTTTTTTTGTACACAGTTGATGCTGGTTATCACTGCGTATTTGGTTGCTGTGGCTGTTGGTGATATCATTCAGCTATATTACTCAAGACTGAATGAACTTAAAATATAAATGGGAAATATAAATGCTGCAGAAAGAATGCCAAGCAAGAGTGACTAAAATAAAGGAATGATCACTGCTTTAAAGGAGCTCATAAAGAGGGATGATGATGTTTCTTAGGTGAAAACTCAATTGGACATGTTGGTGCATTTGCATGAGGAGACAATTTCCCTGCATGAGTCACTGATGGAAATAATTCTTCAAGAGTAAAAGGACAAGCAAAGGGTGTGGTTTGAAAGTATCAATAAACATAACAATTTATTGAGGATGTAAAACAATGGATCTATGAAAAAATATGCACTGTCCTTAAGACATGCAAAAAATGATGCTGTGGGTGGTGAACAAAACAAGGAATGTGTAGATCCACCATGTTTATCACTACATGAGCCCCAGCATGATGGTAAAGTGTCCCTAGACACAGGACAGGAAGGTTTTAAAGATAGGCTCTGTGTTTGCACCTTGGCACTCTATCTCTCCGGTTCTTTTTCCTGAAAATAGATCACTCGGGACACACTCTTTAAATAACATTTCATAACTTAAATGTATTAAATAACCAGGAGACATGACAACAGATTCTGATAGAAATGGTAATCTTACTCAGATCAGAGAAGTTGTTAGAGTTTACAGAAGGCAGCTTCTCACCTCTGGGCTCACCTCTCAGGAAGTGGCCCCGATTAACAGTTAAAAAGGCATTTTATACATCTCCAGTCTGCCACATCATCTTATTTTACATCATGCATGTTAGCAAATGATTAGACATCCATGGCTCCAGCCTTACCAAAATATTACACTTTGTTCTTAGCTGAAGGACACCGCTCTCATTCCATTTCCAAATCTTTGCGACGTACAGAATGAAAATTATAACTGTATATCCCGAGGAACTGTCCTAATTAGATTAAAACATCAGTTCTGATATGCAACAGGCTGCCAATACCAAGATGTAATAAACTCACACATCTTCAATGATGATTATCCTAACAAAGGCTTTCCTGAAAGAATAGACCACGTGCAACAGGATTAAATTCAACCAAATGACAGCATCTCAACTGTTGGAAGCAGAAAACATGGATCAAAAAGTGGAACCTCAAGAACTTCAACCTCTTCTGTTTCCTCTTCTCACATCAAAGCAGAAGCTGAAATAGCTGCTCTTCTTACTAGACAGAAATTACTCAAACAAATGCTAGAGCTGGACCACCAAAAAGAGGAAATCAAGAAAAAAAAAAGAATGATTTGTGCTTAAGATGGAGGTAGCTGCTGCCAAGCTAAGATGGATGTTCTAAGAGTCTCAGGAAGCAGTGGGAAAGGCAGCAAAAATATAAAATTAAGTGTCATAGAATACTATGCAGCCAAAGGGACTTGTGCTGCTTTTAATGTTGAGGCTAATTCATTTGTGCCTGGTGGCCAAGGAGGGTATGACGCTCATACCACACTCAAGCCTCATCTGACAAAGTCAAGTGGAAGAAAACTTACTCCTGATGTTGGATACCAAAATAACGCTGCAGTGACGACCTGGGAACCTTATGGGACCTAATGTGTCGGATAACATTTTAACTTCTCAGTTAAGTGTCACTCCACATACCCAACTGCCAGTCAATGTTGAAGGTAACAATTTGCTGTCTATAATGGCACAGCAAATTTGCCAAAACGAGACATCCAGGTGTTTAAAGGAGATCCAATTCACTATCATGCTTTTATGAGAGCCTTTCACTGTTGTGATTTTATGTTTAATCCAATCTCATCCAGGTTGGATACCACATTAATGTTGGGAATTTATGTTCTATTCTATTCCCAGCCAGCTGGGAATTTATATTTCTGATACTTTAAGATGTTTATTGCTCTCCCCGGTGGGTGTGGTAAATATCTTATTTAATCAGATACTATTTTGGCTGTTATTTATTGTTTATGAACACACACCCTACTAGCTGTAAGAATGATGAATGAAAGAGTGATTCGAGCACTAATCATGGTCAAACTGTTAATTCTGCACAAACAATTAATAAATTC